TGAATATGAGGAAAAACTTCTTCCCTCTGAGGGTGACGGAGCCGTGGAACAGGCTGCCCAGGGAGGTTGTGGATTCTCCCTCTCTGGAGATATTCAAGACCCACCTGGACAAGGTCCTGTGCAGCCTACTGTAGGTGACCCTGCCTCAGCAGGAGGGTTGGACTAGATGACCTACAGAGGTCCCTTCCAACCCCTACCATTCTGTGATTCTGTAACTGGAAATTCTTGCTGGCTTAATGTTTAAGATTTTTATTCCATTTTCATGTATGAATTGGTTTCTTGGGAATTGCTCTGTAAGAGGGGATTTGGGGTCTGCATACCGCAAAACCCGAGAGAGCAGGGAAGCGAAAAGGCTGTGGGTTCAGCTCTCTGAGCACAGGCATTCTTGGGGACCGGCTAACCCAGCTGTAGTTTCAGCACTTGAACTCACCCATGCAGAATGACCCTTTGGAATCAAAACTTCTGTTTCTTTCAGAAAAATGGTCCTTGTGTCTTTTCTGAATTTTCTTTGCAAATAGGATCCCAGTGTCGTTCTGCCTGCAGCCATGTCTCTCGCAGGGCTGCACTGCCCTTTCTGTCTTGGAGCTATTTCCTAATGCTGCTGATTTATGAGACATCATTATGAGTAACTAGCGTAAGCTTGGGCCGAAATACAGAGCTCACGTGTCTGTTGCGTAGCGTGACGTCCTAAATCAAGTCCTTTGCCTCCCTGCATGTGAAAGGCCCAATGTTTTCGTTCTCCGTGAGTTTCTGAATTCAGCCCTCCTACCTCACCGTCAAAATCCCCTTGATAACTTCTGCATTGGTCATTGTTGCTTATTTACATAACCTCTGCTTTTAAAGCATAAAGCCGTGACAGAATTCTCTGTCGGAAGGCTGAGGACAGCGTACAGCCCCGGGATGCAGCGGGTGCCCACAGCCCGGCAGGCAGGGCCAGGGTCTGTGCTCCCCTTGCCGGCTTGCACGGCCCCGCGGTCTCGGAAGTGCCATGGTAACCGGGGTTTCAGAGGAAGGTACTGATTAGCGATGGCTGAGCAAGCCAAATCCGAGCCTGCTTTACGCTGTCCTTTGGTTCAGCTGCAGCAGTGTGTGAGGAACTGTAAATTTGAGGTTTGTAGCTGAGGGGCTCTTGCTCTGAACGAGGACAACTGGTGGTAAGGGCAGTTTAGTAAAGCCAAGTAATTACCTAGTAAACAAGCTCCTTGTAGAAGTGTATAGAGATTACATTGTCCCATCTGATTTCTAAACCCTTGTCATAAGTGCATTAAATGTGACAGATCTTACATTACTGTCATGATCTTAGAAAGCAGTCATTGCTCAGCTGCCTGAGGAGATTTCATTCTGGATCTTACACAAACTTTTGAAAAAAAAACACCCAAGCCCACACAAGTGCCTGATTTTCTAAGGTGCAAGATATCTTAGGACAGCTGTCTGCAAAGGAAGTTAGATGCCCAAAATAATTTACTAACTTAAGGCAAAATAATCATCATTTGTTCTGATACGTGACTATTTTGTTAGGTTGTTTTCCATTTCCTGATTGCTGTATTAATCCCAAGATACGAACATTTAAATTTTTCTGGAACAATGTTCACTGCGTCTTTCCATAAGCATACTGTTCCAAATGCAGTGATCAAATAATATGTAAAGTTCAGTCTGCCAGCTCAAAAATACTGAAAATACAGAGTATTGGTGGTGATGGAGAGTGTCAAAGTTAGCTGGATGCACTGTGTTTGGAGCAAATGGCAAAGAATATGTTGAATTTCTTAGGTATGTGCTCTGATTCAGCAAAGACTGGTGGTGGGCAGGGCTGAAACAATTACTTTATCTCCTGTGGATCCTGTGAGGATCAGATGCATAACTATTACAGAGCTTTTGGAAGTGCCAGTCTGTAATCCCCAGATGCTGGGTCGTGAGAGAGCAGCCCACCGAAAGAGTGGGTGACGTCCAGAGCCCGGGTGGAAGCCTGCCAGCGAGCAGCGTGTCACCAAAAGCCGTGGAAGGGTAGTGCCTCGCCTGCTGCTGTAGCAGGTCTCAAGTTCAGAGGCCAGTCCTCTCACGATGTGGGGAAAAAGCAAAATCTCACATTACTGCTTGCCATACTGTAGCTGTGGATGAGAAGAAAACTTGAGGCATTAGGGCTGGCAATAACACCACGTTTATTAAGTTTCTATTGAAGGACTATTCTGAGTAAGATAAACGGATGGGGTGAACACAATAACCCTCAGTATCTCACTTTCAGATACTTAGTGGGCAAGCACTGCTGAATAAGAGAAGAAATTAAGCGAGGATGTAGAAAAAAGGTTACTTGGCAACATCACAGTGTTTGTAAAGGGGATAAAGAAGGGTCAGGAACTTAATGAATTTTGATTATAGAATTTTCTGTAAGTCAGTGCATGAATAGAAAAATCCTAAACAATATTTTGGTGTCATACTCTAATAGGGTTTGCCTAAGGCAAAACTGGGTGTGTTTGGAAACAAACTGCAGAGAATAGCCACAGCGTAGCTGCTGCGTACAAACAAAATTGGACTCCCCAGAGGCAGGCAGTGCTGGTCCTAGCTCCAGCAGAGATGGTCTGAACAAGGTATGTGGTACTGATGAATGTCGATGTTGATTTTTTGTGTTGTCTGGAGTAAACATACTTGGAAATATGAAAATGTTGATTTGGAGCCCCCCATGTTTACTGTGTGACATACTATTAAAAAAGTTTCATTTTATCTTCAGTAACTGGGAGGAGGACACCAAATAGAAAAGCACTATGGCCTATAATTGCAGTTCTGCCCAGCTTGCCAGTGTGATTTCAATGGGTAAATGAATTTTCCTCTGTAATAGCAACCTTATTAATTTCTGACCCTTGCAGAGAGGAAGAATCCATTGATTGTTGGAGTTCAGATTTTTGCAGTGGGTTTCTGTAGTGGTAACCAGTTGTATGGCTCAGCTGGTGCTTTGGGTGAAATAGGAGGTGCAATACCACAGCCAAAAAGAGTTGCCTACCAAACTGCCCCTTCCCATCCAGCCCAGCATGCAGTGAAATCTGTTTTTAAAGACCGTATTAAAGTAAGCATCATTTTGTGGAGCCTGAATTTTGCAAAATAATTCAGTGGCTTGTGGCAATTAAATGTGGTACATTTATGGTAGAGACTGTTTGATTGGAAATACTTAATTACAGTACCTAGGAAAATGCAGTCTAACAAATAACATCTTTCCCCCCCAACCCCATGCTAAAGTTGTAGCTGTTAGTAAACGTTCTGTCAAAGATAAAAGACTCAGTAAAATCTTGTTAGTAAGTGTGTTCACGTGGACATTTTCTCACTGGAGACCAGTACATATCCATATGGAGTCTGATTTCTTGAACCACTATAAACTCCCCAGTGTAGGGAGCTGAATTGCTCGCTGGAGGGGGACGCTTATGGTCCTTCTCACCTATGTAGGCAGCTGAAGTTCAAGACACTGGTGGGTGTTTTCACATAGTTCAGTGTGTAGTAAATACTAATACTAATTTAGTTTACTAAAAATAGTAAATAGTTCGGTAAGTAAAGGAATACTTCAAAATTTTTTGTTTCTTTAGGATTTGTGCTTTTTTTACATTACTGATCATACATCTCATTACAACTATGGGGATTTAAGAAAAACAGATTCACAGTGATGTGTGCTAGTTACTTGGTGGGTTTTTTTTCCTTCAGTGTAGAGTAAAGCTAATAAAACTTGTTTAATATTCTTTTTACTTTCAGGCACCAATTTTTGAATATGTCTTGTGCCAGTTTGTCCCAATAAGTCCTAGAACAGCACTATTTTGGGTGCTTTAAAATACTTAGAGCTTCTTTTCACTGCTGTGATGAACTGAGATGTAAGTGGACTATTATTCTGACATAACTCCTAAACACCTCAACATTTCTAGCTGAAGCTAAGCTCTAACCATGAGCAAAGTGGCACATCAGTGGAATGGGTTGAAGTTTTGTGGAGCTGGGATGGGATTTTCTGTGGTGGTAATCCAGATCCTGTGCTATTCAGATGTTGAGTTAAGCTGACCAAACCAAATTATGGTAACTCTGCAGAGAAATAATTGCTATTCCAAAGCAGGCAGTGGGTTGCCTTTTGTTTTTTATGTTATCCTGTTACAAATTACAACTTCTAACCACTAAGTAGGCATAAAGAGCTTCTCTATTATTTTTCTCTGTTCTGCTTAAATTAAAAAAAAAACAAACCCCAAAAAACAAAACACCAAACACCTCAAAAGCAAACTTCTGTGCTGGGTCACATATAGTTGGTAAGATCAAATTAACAAATGTAACTTGCAAATAACCAATTGAACTAAATTTTTAACGTCATTGGCTATAGAAAAAAATGTATTATCTATAGAAAAAATGTATTAACTATGATTGCTTAGTGCTCTACTGCATCAGACTTTATAGATTTTGGGAAGATGAGCTCAGGATTTTGGACAAGGGTAAGAAGTTGTCATTAGAGTCAGTTCTGCAATTTCCAGGCTTCATCAAAGCACTGCTGAATGTGCCTGATTGTGTGTAAACAAATGTTCCTCCTGGAATCTGTAGGAGTGCCCATGCTCTTGAACAAAATCAGGTGCTGAGCTGCTCAGCTCAAGTGAGAGCCCGTTGCTGGCCCACCTGTGAGACCTGTTATTTAGTGGCCTGTGCACTTGTTCATATATAAGGCAGATGATGGAAAAAAACATATCTGAATTCAAAGTCTCTCAAATCCATTTTTTTCAATTTTTAAATTAACTTTAGTATCAGGAACTGGCCATGTCTTGTGTATTTTTTACTCTTCCTTCCTTACCAGGTACGCATTTGAGAAGCACTGTGGTCCCTTCTGGATTTTTGGCAGTGTTGCATTAGAGAGTCATTTCTTGGTGTGTGGAAATGGATGTGTATGTGTGTGCATGCATGCTTATGTAGAGATAGATCTGTGCTGATATCTGAAATAATAGATGTGAGGGTTTTAACCTTGTAACTGTTACGAGATCTTTATGTGTCTGCTCTAGGGTCGACCCTATCCCATATGACACTCCAAAACCAGCGGGCCACACGCGATTTGTCTGCGTCTCAGACACACACTCCAGAACAGATGGCATCCAGATGCCTTATGGGGACATCCTTCTCCACACAGGCGATTTCACCGAACTGGGACTGCCCTCAGAGGTTAAGAAGTTTAATGACTGGTTAGGTAAGGAATTACTGCGTTTTGGTGACCCCAATTAACCTCTTCTGTCCAAGTGTCAGTCACTGCCTCCTAATTGAATTAGAGCACTTGAAAATCCCCCCCCTACACTTGCTTCACTTGTCCTCATGTGATGTGCTGTTTCTAGCTTCAGTATGATTCTGTTAATTAAGACAATTTTAGAGACTTTGCTATGTTTCTGCACTATCTTGGGGGAAAAGATGCTGTCATTCCACAGCAAGGACTGTGTAGCCTTCTGTGTGCGCTGAGGGGGTGGTGGCACCTGGTATGAATGCATACAGCATCCTATTAGTTAATGTTTTGTGTCCACAGCCAAAACTGTTGCTCTCTGTGTTTTTTGTTGACCATAACTGAAAGCGGTGCTGAAAGTTACATTTGGAAATTACTAAGTCCTTCTTCCCGCAATATAGGATAGCAAAATCAATAATACTGTTTGGAGGAGGAGAATTTTTTGGGGGTGGTATTCACATGATTGCCCCTTTGAGTTAGAGACCTGGCATTTTAAATTTGAATGCCAGCACTTAGTGCCTGGTTGGTAGAAGTCTGTTGTCTTCTGCTGTAGTTGATAGCAGGGCCTTGGTGTAGTGTATTGGTACAGGTGAGGGCAATGAAATTCTAGCAGCAGAATTGCAAAATGAAGGAGAGGAACTTACACAGGATGCTTCTGTTACAAATGTCGCTGGTAGGCTGGCTGTGTACTGTCACATCACCACTTGCATTAGAAACAGTCAGAGATGAAGGTGCCTCGAGCAGCTGATCTTCAAGAAATTTTAGAATGAATTTACAGTGTTATGTAAAAACCTTTGAAAGCATAGCTGTACCCACTTTGCTGCACTCTCTCTTGCCTGCTGTATGATGACTGCATCTCTACATGCCTTTAATAGCATCATTTTATTCCACTGGAGTTCCTTGGCTGACCCTTCAAGAGATAAGTAAAGAGCATCTGGATTTACAAAAGGAATTTTTAAATAGAAGAGCTTCCACATTTTCAGTCTTTTCACCCTCCTTTGCATTTTCTCCATACTGTTCGTTTTATATTCCTCCTGACCTCCTCTGATTTCCATAGCCCAATTTTAAAGGACGTTTTTCCTTCTTTTTATTGCTGTGCATGTGGGATTGGGAGCTTCCAGATACTGCCGTATTACTGTAATTTAGTTTTATCGTTCTTATTTCTAGAAAGTGGCAGTAGATTTTATGGGCTCAAAACTATCCGTTTTCTAGGAATGTAATTGTAGGACTGGGAAATAAGAAGTGGTAGGAGAAGTAGGTGCATATGTACGTAGGAGTGAGGGAAGAGACACAGTAGGAACAGTCTTCTTCAACTTTTGAGTGCTCTTTGTGATAACCTGCAAATGTTAATGTTATGCAGGAGGAGGAGCAAGCAAGGTAAGGGCAGTGGGAGGCTGCACAGCTTCACTGGGAGTGGGCGGTGTGGTCCCACCAAGTCCTCGTAGAGGAGCTGGTCAGCACTGTTGCTCAATGAGGTTCAGTTGTTACCGATGCCAGGCAGCTCCAGAAAAGGTATTGCTTGCTGGAGAGCAGAGACCTCCAAAGTGTACTCTGAATGCATTGTGAAGAGCAGTGTCTGGCTGCCATAGCTCCTCTTTGGACTTTGGGTCATTTCACAAGTATTGTTTTGATACAGCCAGAGCCCGTGCCCAGTGCTTGTCATTTGAAAACACTAACTCAGTACTGCTGAAAGCCACAAGAAGTAAGCTGCTAGTGTGTTTTCATCCTTTGTGGGGAATCTTACAGTACTGGCAGCCACTTGGCATTCCTTGTATTTAGCAGGTGTTTCACAACGGTGTTTTATCACATAGATCCTTGGTTTAACATCTGCAACGGAAGAATTATAACCCTTTGAATAGGTTTTGTTCCAGGCTCAATAATTTACCATGGGTCTCTCTTAGCATATATATAGTTCTTGTAGAAGTCAGTATAGTATTTATCTGAGAAAGCAGGTTTTGCGTTCTTTGGCAGTCAGTGTCATTGAAACTGGAAGCTTTGACTGTGTGAGGATCTACTGGCTTTGGCCTCAGGCTTTCATATTTCGGGTACAGAGAAAACTTACTTTGTTCCTACTTCTTCTCTCTCTCTCTTTTTTTTAAATACACGCAGAGTTCACTTGCATTTTCATATCTATGCCAAGACCAGTTATTAGGTTTCTGGCATAAGCCTGGCATAAGGTGAGGCAGCAAACCGATTTCCCTGTGGAATCTTGTCACGTCGGTGAATGCTTGCCCAGTGCTCTCTTCTCCTCGCCTGGAATTGAAACACTGTGAAGTCAGGCATGCCCTTTTGCTGCTTTATTTCAGGCTCCCATCTGCAAAATGGGAGTAGCCGTTTTTCACTATTTACTATGTATATTGTGAAGATTAGTACCTTCAAGGTTGTGAGGTGATGATATATAATAGTTTAAAAAATATATACCAGTGGCAGGCAGGAACAAGCAGGATTCCTTTTTCTTCTGCCATATAGTGGGAGGCATGTTTTTTTGTCGTAGTTGGTAGGAATCTTTTCCAAAGCAATGCATTGAGAATTCCCAGCAAATATATCATTGTCCTTCTAGAAAGGTTTTTTCGTATCTTTTGTGTGCATGGTTTACTCCACTGGCAATTGTGTTGTAAAGCAGTAATGAAGACAAGGCACTTGTATCGTTTATACCTTGAGGGAGAGAAGTGAGATCAAAGCCAGGCTTCATTCTACAGCTTATTTTACCTACTCTGTGGTACAGCCTCAACTCCACTAGGATTATATAATGGGATAACTAAAACACAATAACTATCCATAATTTTCTTGGCAGAAAAACCAAGGGAAAAGTTAAAAGATGATTATTCTGAAGCCCTGCCTCGCTTGTACTTCACTGGGTGTTACATATGCCAGAGTTATACGGGAGCGAAAGCACTTCTGTCAGCCCTGCAATTTTATATTTTGCGGGTCTTGCATCCCTTTGCAGCTCTTTCGGGTATCTTGCCTGAACAAAAGGTTCAGCATCTTGTCCATCCATCTCATTAACGATTATCCTTCTTCCTCATCTCTGCTGCCAAAGCATAGAACATGCTTTCTGCGCCCTCTTCCTACTCTTCCTAGCTCTCAGCCCTTCCTTCAACTTTTACCAACTCTGATGCTTTTTTTTCCCTTTGGCTGATAAATTTTCATTATTGGTTTTGCATGAAAGTCATCTGGGCTCATACATTGAATAACCTCTGTGGTCACTTTAGTGATTACATGCGCTGGCTGAGGTAATTTATTCACTTTTGTTTTGGTGTGAACATGTCCCTTGGGTCTTGTAACTGTGGTAATCACTTGACCTTAGTGACTGTTAAATGCTTTAAACACGGTAATTTTAAATTTATAATTGTTTTCATTAAAAATCTCTTATAGTAACTTAACTGACCTTGCAGTAAACACAGCATTATGTGCTGAGGAAGAATTAAGATGTTATTCTATGCCCAGTATATTTCTTAGTGAATGTTTCAACGTACTGTTATTATCACTGTTCATATTTTTCCCATCCGTTCTCATCCAGTCATATATGGGAAATGAAATACAGGAGTATCTAATTATAGCTCTGTCTTCACAGTGCAATATTTCCTTTCCTGCATGATGGGAAGTGATTGAATAACTCGTAAGGATTGAAGAGAAAGTGAAGATAAATTCAGGCAGATAGATCTTTAATGAGTGACGATATGTTTATTGTGCTCGATTAGTATGGGCCTGATTGTGCATATCCTTACTTGTGTGAATAATTTGCATCTGCTTTAGTCATTTTTCTCAAATTGCCAGTTTGGTTTTGTTCTTTTTGTCTAGTGGTTATTGCTTACTGTGTTCATTTTTGGGTATGTTTTTTTTTTTTCCCTATGCAAGGTTGCTAATGTAAGGCACAGTACTGGATGAATCGGGCAAAATTCTGCAGTGGTGGATGTGAGTCAATCCAGTAGGTGAAATTACTACTGGTTGATGTCTGTGGAGCTGAGAGTAGAATTTGGCTAGGTTTTTTCTGAGTTGTTCTGGGATTTAGCAGCTTGGCTGTTGCATGTTTTTTCTTTCATGTCTTGTTTTTGTTTTGAAGGCATGCTTCTTCTAATTTCTGTGGGATAATGACTTGAGGAACTTTGTGAATGGTTTAGTGGCCAAATACATATGGGTTTGTACTGGAACAAATATTTCTTTACCTGCAATATGTCGTTGCTTTTAGTATAAACATTGTTGACAGAGCCAGAATGAAAATTCAGATTCTTTCCTGTGGTGTAGTTCCTCCATCATGTTACTTAAAGAGAGAAAAAAAGAATGATTATACTGTTTTAACGTGGAAGTTTTCTTGTAAAACTCTACACTCTCCACAATTCTGTCATCCTCAGAAACGTATTGTCAGTTCTTTTAAAGTTCATATTTGTGTAAATGTTTAGTTATTGAAAATAGCAGCTTCAGCTTGGAATTGCTGGCTGTTGCATGGAATAGATGGGAATAGCACTGGTAATGTGGTGTTGCTCTCAGAGGTATGGACCGACACGTGGCTTCGGTCTACACTTAGATGTCTCCATTAGTACTGTAGAAATTTGAAATTCTATTCCAAAGTGTAAGCCAGACACCTGCCAAAATAGTGCTTGATCTTGAAGATAGTATAATTTAATCTGAAAAAAACCCCTATAACAAAATAGTGTAATAGTGAGATCAAGCTCTTCCCTTATCACTGTTTGAACATTCAGGGTCACATTCCTCTTGCATCCTTTCTCAGTCTCTGTGGTCAGTTATTCCCTCGCTCTATCTAGGCTTCCTCTCCTCTCCAGGCATATTTCATTCAGGGTTTTGTGTGAGTGTGTTCCTTTTGCTCACGTACTCTCGAAACAGCTTCATTGTGATGAAGTATTTGTTCTTGAGGACTTTTGCTCTGTAAAACTGTATTTCTGCTGTGAATTATTTTAGCATCTGACATGAGACTTTTTTTATAAAAGCAAACCAGTAAGCTCTAAATTTCTCAAATT